ATGACCTCCCAGTCGCCATCACCAGCCACCCTAGGGCTGGATACGGGTGACCACACCACTGGGGTGGTCAGGACGCTTGTCGGGGTTGGTTGCTGTCCTAACCATGGCTTGTGGGGCTCCGTTTGCTCGGTGAATGTTGCTGGGGAAGGCGGTAACTCGGCTAAGTGGGGCAGGAGGGTTGGGGTGCCGTCTCAGACAGGGCAGCTCTCCTGGGGCTGCTCCGCCAAGCCACGTCCCCAGTGTGCAGGGCAGACTGGGGTTTAGTGCTTGGCCCGGTAGCTGCAGGTCTCGTTGCCCACAGACTGTAACTCCTCCTCTCCTGCCGGGAATGTGGCCATCATTCCCGCCCGCGAGAAGGCCAGGGCCAGTCTTCAGCTCCCTCCTCGGCCTGGGCCAGACCCAGGCAGCCGCGTCCCTCCTTCGACTCACGGTACCTTTTCTCTCTCCCCGTGTCCCCTGCTAACAGCTTACCCCGGACGCACCCTGGGCTCCTCCGCCACAGGTTGGTATCGCTGCCTGCTACCTGCATGCTGCCAGCGCTGCCTAAGCTCTTCGCTGGCCGCCGGCTTTCCTGTTCACCTGCCCCAACAGGGCCACGCTTCCCAGGCACCGAGCAGACCCTGGTTAGCGACGTCCCACGGCACCCGCTGGACCCAGCGTCCCCAGCCCCACCAGAGCTTGGCACGCGTGTCACTGTGTTTGTCTGTCCCAGGCCCGACTCCGACGCCTTTGACACCTTTCCCTCTTGGGTTAAGACTCAAGAGGTTGCGTATTCCTCTAGCGATGGAGTTGAGGCATTTGTGGTAGACATGCGGGTCGATCTCCCACCCACGGCATGAACCGGAGGAGCCCAGCAGATAGCCCACCCTGCAGGGGAGCTCTTCCCACCCTTCACCCTCCTACGTGCAGAAACTTTCCAAAATGTCCACCCTTGCCCCCCGGCTCCGGGCTGCAGTTTAAGCCGATGAGCCCGCAGCAGCTGTCCCAGTAACACAGGCTCGGCCCCATTTAACCCGACTTACCCTCAGCGACCGTCCCAGTAACGCAGGCTGGCCCCTGCGCGGCGGCCTCAGCCCCCTCGGGAGCCAGAGCTGGCTCCTCTCCCTGCCTGTCCTGCTCAGGCAGCGCTGCCAGGTCCCCCCTGGAGAAGCAGGAGATGGGAGATGGGCCAAGAAGCACCGGCCAACACCCAGCCCGTCCCCTGGGTCTGGTGCTGGGCCACGCCGACAATGTCCCTGCTGCAACACGAGGCGGGGAAATCCCATCTTCTCACCCTCGTGTCCTACCCCACGGCCTCCG